ACGACACCGGGACGTATGCCCGGCTCCTCTATTCAGTCCTCTCAGCGCCGCCTGAGGGGCTCCCATCGCTGAGGGAAGAGCAGGCTCAGAGCTTCGGCCACCTGCCCTGGCCACACGGATGCACGAGGGAGGGGTCCAAACTCGGCTTTCTCATCTCACCTGCCGAGCAGTGTTACTTCTGACTGGAAAAAGACTACGCGCACTTGGTCATGCCTGCTTGCAGCGGACACAGGAGAAGCAGGACAGCTCAGTCACCCGCCTGACCTTCAAGGCAGAGATGGCCACCTCGCCTGAAAGCAGCAAAAATATGACCACAAATGGCAGATTGTGAAAAAGGAGGTTTGGGATTCGTCGACATTTTAACTGGTCATCTGGGAACACCCGATTAATTCCTCCTGTGAGAAAGACTCGTGTCCAGAATTAAAAAGGCTTTATATTCGATTTAGAAGTAATAGATCAAAACACTTGACTCTCTTTTTTCCTTTTTTTTGGTGGAGGGGGTGGCGTGGCAATCAGGTTATTTATTTATTTTAATGGAGGTACTGGGGTTGGAACCCAGGACCTCATGCGTGCTAAGCATGTGCTCTGCCACTGAGCTATACCCTCCCCCTCAAAACACTTGATTATTTAAACTGTAATGACAATTCCAGAAATGGGTTTTAATTCAGTTTCACTTTCATTTCCCCGAGTAGCTCCGTTCAGAGGGACGTGGCCCTTTCTGGAGCATTCAGTGCACTTGCAGAAGGGAGACGTCCTTTAAAAACAGACACCAGTGAAGATGGTTCTAACTGAACTGTGTCATGCAGACCGAGCTTATAGGTGTACGGATTGCCCTAATCACTTTCCTCCGAGACTTGGCCTCGGTTTCCCCATCACTGGGCCGTGCGCAGCTGAGCCCCGGGGGTGCTGAGAAAGTGAGGCGGCCCGAGCAGAAGACAGCGGGCCTCCAGGTGACTTCCGCCCACACTTCACGCAGGGCCCTGAGACTTCGGTGGCGTCGGGTCCGAGATGTTAGCAGCCAGCTCAACAAAGCCTCTGTGACAGTGGAAAGGGGTGGGTTGGTGTTGTTTCTGCCTCTGCCTGTCACCGACGGTGTCAGTTACGTGCCTGGGCCTCCGGTTTGTTCTCTGCAAAACGAGAGTGCTGGGGGCCACCCTGCTCCCTGCCGGGTGCCTGAGCGCACGAGAGCTGTCCTCGCTCACGGGCTATGTCCCCCGGAGTGGTGGCCTGCGCCAGATCAACCCTGGGCTTATTTGTCAAAGCCAATGGCCAGTGAGACTATTTCACAAGCAAATAACAGCACTGACATCAAAACCAAACCAAACCTCTGCAAATACATGGTATTTTATTTCCACCAAATACATGGTATTTTATTAAGGACAACGGGGGTGTACAATGCATGTTCCTGGCAGTTATGCACATCAAAAAAGGTGTGGTGAAAGTAAGAAACAAGCAAACAAACAAGGACCAGTTAACCAAAAACCAGGCAAAATAAAGAAATAAACCATGTGTATCTGAAGGTAAGCATAGGAATGTTAATTGGATGCCCAATTAAAGTGGCTTCTAGCATCAAGGCTGATACTTGGCGATGCATGAGGTGTTCGAGCACAGAATCCAGTGCATCAGAAAGAATGTGCCGAGTTAAATAATAAAGAAGATAGATAGATAAGTAAATAAAAAAACAGAAAAGAGGGCCCGATGAGACAGTGGTTCAAGGGCCAACTGAGCACAGTCCACCCGGCTCAGGACAGTTGGACAGTCCTCGGGGTTTACAGCCGCTTGTGAAAACGGCAGTAACCACCGGGACTTCTGGGTTCTTTGTCACTTGTCAAAAACAGCGGAATCAACTCATTGAGTCTGTTGGTCAGTTCAGTTCTGCCACTGGTCAGAGCGTTCAGCTTTCGACAGGCAAGTCTTTTACTCAAAGACTTGCAGAACTTCCTTCCTGTGAGATTTCGGTAACACAGCACGCATTTCAAGAGGAAGCTGCTTTATTGATCATGAAAACGCAGATAAAGCCTAAGCGTGTCCTGCTCCGCGTCTACTGGAAGATCGTGCTGCGGAAGCTGAACGTGACTGAGCTTTTCCTCGTGCTATTTTTTCAATTCTATTTTTAGACAAATTTGACGAGAGGACAGAAATTATTTTCCTGATGGAGAAATAAATACCCACCGCACAAAGATGATAAGGACTCACTACTGACCCTGACATACGTCTGATTTGCCAACAGTCTTCAAAGGATTCCCATTCTTCCCACTTTGGAAGCGAGAAAAACACAGCTTAAAGGGTTTAAGCCAGGAATGAGAGATTCCTCTACTTGTGAGTTGCATGTGGGAAGTTCTCCATCGCTTCCCCAGAACATGACGGGCTAAATGCCCAGTCTTTGCAAATGTAATTAGTAGAATTCCCTTTAAAAAGAAAAGTCCTAGTTTGGGATCCCGTTAAAAGTGTCCAAAGAAAGTCATAACTTAAAGAAAATATGTTCTTGTACAGCTGGTCTGACTTCCAGATGCCACTCGGGCTGGTCACCGGAACACACACATCCTTAAGACAATACTCCTGGGGAGGAGGGTGGAGCTCAGTGGTAGAGCATGTGCTTAGTGTGCACAAGGCCCTGGGTTCAATCCCTGGTACCTCCATTAAAAAAATAAATACATGAACCTAATTATCTCCCCCTCCTAAAAACATTATATACTAAAAAAAAGGCAACTCTCCTTATTACCTGAGTGGGTGGGTCCTAACTGATTAACAATGAGCCAGAAGCCGCCTGCATACCTTCCTCTCTTAAGCCCTGTGAAGATTTCTGGTCAGAAGAGGACCAAACCCGTTCCCGCAGTTCCTGCCTCCTGACACAGGACAGTGCGGCATCACCAGCTGGAGGAGCCAGGAGACGGGGGGCAGGTCCCCGGGGGCCATCCTCACAGCTGCTATCCCCTCCACAGAGGCTTCCTTTATTGGCCTCACTGCGCCTCTACTCAGATCATTCAGACCCTGGGACCCTGCAGGGGCGACCTCACCACCGCCGGACCTCCGAGGCCTCAGGAGCTCCTGGTGCCTGGTCTTAGACAAGGACAGACAGACACTGAAAATTGCATCATTACGGTTCAGCATTTCTGCAGTTTGTCGTGAACACTGATGTTCTCTCTGGCTAACTTTAATGAGATGATTTATAGTCCTGAATGTTGTCCAAAGGCAGTGTTACCAGGAGGAGTTAAATCTTTGCAGTCAAGGTGGGGAGGGCACAGCTCAGTGGTAGAGCGTGTGCTTAGCACGCACGAGGTCCTGGGCTTTGTCCCCGTACCTCCGTTAAGCAAATACTAATAATAAGTAAATAAATAGACCTAGCGACCCCCCCCCCAAAAAACATCTTTACAGTTAAAGCGCACACACACACCTCTGTCGGTGAGTCCGCTTGCTCTGACTTTTGAGCTTGTGAATAAATGACCGATTTTGGGGAGGATGGTAAACTGTGCAGGTGAAGGTGGGGCGACAGTGAAGACTTTCCCCAATTCCTGTCTGAAGGGGAAGGTAGGACACACGGGTTTACTGCTATTTAGGGCCACCACTTTCCTGTCTCCTCACCAAGGCAAACAGCTGAACGACGCCCGGTCTACGCCGTCCGCTTTTCCAGCGAGTTAATTGATAAAGCCAGTGCCCGTCATCACCTCTCTAGCACATCTGGAGGGAAGTCTTGCACAACCACAAGGAAATGTGGTCACGTGAACCTTTAGAAATCTGCTTCGTCCATGCATGCAAGTCACCCGTACGCGTGCCTGGGTATCAAGTAAGTACAAAGCCTCAGGAGATGCTGATTTGTGTGGTGTGGTGCACAGGGACCTTTATCTAAGTAGCTAAGCCTTTTGAAAGTTAGTCATTGTTTGTTCATGGCAGTTTTGGATTGGGGCTCCTAATTTAAGAAACAGTTCCAGATCATATGATACCTTTTTTCTTTTTTGGCACAGTTATGTAAAGGGAAGTCAGCTCAAGGCTTAGCAACACGCGTTTGGAGACACTCACAGTGACGATGGGCATTCTCGTTAAATCTGCCTTTTATTGGAAATTCTGCAGTGACTACACAGCTCAGCATGGCTCCTATCGGGACATGTGGTACCCAGATTCCTTCTCTTCTTTGTCTCTTTTCCTTCACAGAATTCTCATTAAAATTACTTAGAGTGAATCAGAGAGACCCTGTTATAAAATAAATCCAGTTAAATACACTTTGTTGTATTGGCTCATTTGCGTGATGCATGGACCTCATCTTCCTCTCTTTGTGTCTTAACTACGTACATTAGGTGATGCTTGCCAATTAATGATGCAGGATTCTCATCCCCAATTGCTTTCTCTGTCTTCTTAAACATTAAAAATAAATACACGCCATCTGTCTCGTATCTTGAAAGCAATTCAAAATGGTTACTTTTGTTTGCTTAGGATTACAGCACAGTTTATAGCTTTAGTGCTTCCGAATTATAAGAAAGTTCTGTCTCCATTTCATGAATGTAACTTCATTTTAAGGTGAATCCAACAGAAGGAATAGAAGGCTCTCGAGTGAACTTGCGTGAGACAGAAAGCCCTGTCGGGTGGTGGGTAAAACCTTGGTCTTTGGCACTGAGAGGCCCAGACTGGACGCAAGCCTGCGGCTTTCCCGCTGAGCCACCTCGGGAAAGCAACTTAACTTCTGAAGCCTCAGTATTCCTTACCTGTGGAATGGGGAGAACACCTACTGTGTGGCGCACACTGGGAAGTACATATAAACACACACACACAGATGTGTAAAAAGTTGCCTACCCAACTCCTAGTCAAGGCACAAGAAGTGGTAGCTGTTGTCTCCATTGTCACCCAGTTTGGGGAAGGGAACAATTCAGGTTGAGATAGAGGGTTGTTAAAAAATAGCTCACGGTGGCATAAGGTTAAAACCTAAGAGGGGAGTTACATATGAAAGCTGTGTTCTTTCTCCATAGCAATTAAGCTATAGAAGTAAACAACTCCACCTCCATGGCCTCCAACGCCCTCCGGGCACACGCGTCTGCCAGGGAGTGTGGCACACAATCGAGCGTCGGGAGAACTTGAGAGCCTTTGGATCCGCAAGGTCTACCATGGCACTTTCCAGAGAGCTTTTTTTTTTTTAATAAAAAAAATGGTATGTTATAAAGCACCAAATGCTTAAATAACCTAGCTATAATTAAAGGGGCAAGGGGCAATTTGAGAAAGTTCTGCTTTCCATTCTAAGTCAGAGCAATTTTCTCAACAATACTTTCTACTGTAGCACAGGGGAAAGCTTTCTAGATTTGAGCCCAGCATTCCGAAGAGGGCGAACGTGTAATTTGAAGTCCACCCTATACTCACAGACCACAGAATTGCAGTGCTATTTAAAATGCTGGACACATGTGACCTAGCCCAAAATATTGTAGCAATAAGAAAACTGAGGTCCAGTGTAGCTCAGCAAATTGTCCAAAAGCACACAGCTAGCTCGAATGGGAACACGTTCTTTCTTCCAGCTAGGTCTCAAAAATTGTGGTAAGCAGACTGAAATTTTTCTGTCCTTCTATAAATACCCTTGGTTTACAGCGGATCCCTTGCATGGCGGCTCCCTTAGCAGCCTTATTTGAACATAACTGAGCTGTTCGGCATAGTCTCCGCATGACAAAGTGGTCGAGTCTTGCTAGTAGCTGGGAACGCATTGTCGAGCCTTTTTTTAGCCCGACAGTCGGGGCAGTCCAACTCTTAGTCATCCTGACATGTGTTTCGGAACACAGCACACCCATGAGTCCTGGCAAAAACTGCATGTCTTCCTGCACCCTCCCACACCGCGGCTCTTCTCAAATGCCTGGTGTTTCTACCGCGGTTCTGGAGAGAAAATTACTTAACATTCCTAACCTGCGGGTGCGCTTAAACTTCCCCTCCTCAGTGGCAAGATGAGCAGTAGCGCGTGCAAACCGCGCCACTGGAGCCGAAGATCTGCTGCGAGCAGGGACGGCAGCCCTCAGCAACCAACGCCGCCGGGAACTTCCTTCAACGAAGGGCAAAGGGGAGAAGCGCGTCCCCTCGGAAACTCCACCCTGTAGCCCCTTCTGGAAAGCACACCTTGATCTGACCGGCACGCCTGAGCTCAGTGCGCGCTGAACACGGACTTGCAGACAACTGACCACGACCCGCCGCACAGCAAAATCAGGACCTGATGCCGCTCTTGTGAAATGTTTCTAGGGAACCAAGAGCTTTTTTATTTTCAGAGTCTACATCCGATTCCACATTTAACGCATCCCAGTCGCTTTAAGAAAATCACCTGGTGACCCTGTAAAGCATCTTTTGCTCTTTTGCTCTCTGCCGTATTTTGCTGGGCTGTCCAGAGCAGGAGTGGGGAGAGAGGGGCGAGGAAGAGCGGGCTGAAGGCCGGGGAGGGCGGAGGCTTGCGGGCCTGCTGTCCCAACTCTGTCCTTTTCACCCTCTTGGGTGACACCTCAGGCCAGGGGAGGCTGCCGGGCTCTGACCGGCCGTGGAACAGCGCTTCAGGCGCACGCGGAAGTGAGCCGAGGTGTCGGTTTCACATTGTGCAGATGCCTCTGCAATTTATTCCCCTGGCTGGAGTGACAGGAAGATGAAACACGGCAAGTGTTTCCTCCTGTGCCCCAAGCCTGGTGGCCAGTCTCTGGAGAAGTGCGTTCAGGGCACACCAGGGGAGCACCTCCGGCTCCTATTTCCACCTGAGCCCGGGGACAGGCTGTGGGCTGAGCTGGAGGGAGGAGAGGCAGGTGAGTGGCTCCCAGGTTGCACAAGGATTTCCCAGGGAGGAGCTGGGGTGATTAATCCAGTAGGAATTTGTTTCACCACCACCACCCTCCCCCTCCCCTCAAGAAAAAAACAACCAGACTCTCTCAAGATGCTGATAAGAATTCTTTTATGTTATTCCAATAAAAAATACATTCATACAGAAATATAACAATCTTGCAAAAAACAATTTCAAATAAAATCTTGTAAAACAAAATCTTACAAAAAATCTTACAAAGATTCTTTAGATAACAGGGTGCTCCAAAAAAAAAGAAATTTCACTAATAGAAATTTTTTTTTTAATGTCAAGCAAAATGTTTCTGCTTGATTGAGGCTCAGTTATCACCTGAACAGAATGTCATTCTTGATGTACCTGCTTATTATGAAAATTACAGGCGTTGACATACATGGCACCCGGCCCCACCCACCCAAACCACTCCACGGTGTTTCATAAGCGAGACAAGCCAGTGCAAGTTGGGTTTTTCTTCTTTTGTTTACCTTCTTGCTTCATAGAATTGTTATGGCTAAGGACACAGCAGGGCCAAAAAAGGAGTTTTCCAAAATCCAGCAAATCAAGTTGGAATTTGGAATTGCCAAAAGAAAAGTGCATTTTTACCCCCTCAGCAAAATGAAATGAGTTCTTTAGGGAAGTGTATCCATCAGCCCAGATTTTAAGAAAACAAACAAACAAACAAAAAAAACCAGTTATGTGAGCTCTCACCATTGCTCATTTCCAGGAAGATCAAACAAAATACCAGCCCAGTCAGACTCCTATGTGTATATATACATATATAAATATATATAAAGAAATGATCTGCACCCACAAGCCAGCAGCGGGATGAAGGAGCAGCTGTCCACGCTGCGGCATGCCAATTTGGGGCAATTACCCGTTGGAAAAACTGGAAGAACCTATGTGCTGGAGAAAATAGCTTTATCTGCATAAAAAGTGTCTACAAAAGAATCCCTGTGATGAGCTTGCTCTTAGGTTAGATCTTCAGTAAGGCTGACGTTTGAAATCGAAACCTTCGTGTGTCTGAGACCAGCCAGTGGGCTAGTATTCTGTTCACGCCACTTCTGCACGGCCACAGACAGGTACCCTATTCCAGACCTGCCCATCACAATGAGCGAGCCGGCAGTCTGCAACAGACGTGACGCCAGGAGCCTGCAGCAAATCGTTAAACGAAAGATAAAGCCTTGACCAAAGTTGTTTTCGTTTTTACTTCCTTTATGGCCATTTTGAAGTATTTCTTCACAGGCTGTGGAATTTCCTAGCTAAACATTCAACTTCTCCTTAAAAAAATATTTATATATTATCTATATATGTATATATATATACACACACACACACATACACATACTATACGCACAAATATACATACACAAGAATTCCGCCCAACTTAAAAAAAAAGTAATATACTTTCTGTGTTACCAACAGATAGCTAGATAGATATGCGAGAAACTTGTGCCTTTTAAGCAAATGCATTATTGTTTTTTATACTTCTGTATCTCTAATACGTGTGAAAATGTTACATACTAAACACAGCCGGTGTGGGATCTATACAATTGTTGTGCAAAGTCTGTATGTAAGCCTCACGGGGGCAGACATGGTCTGATTTTCCAAACATCTCGTGTTTTCCACTTTAACACTGACAGTCGAGTTGTCTGAACTGTTGAGGAGATACTGACTTGTTTGAGGGGTGTTCATCTATTTGACTCTGTGAAGGAGGACCTTAAATAGATTTGCTTTTCTCTGTATTAATATGGATACAGTACAACGCCAGGTGAAAAAAGAGCCTTAATGAAGCATCATCACCCATACCCCTGTAGGAGACCCCACGCAAGGGGCCACTTGCATAAGGCACCATTATTAAGATCTACAGTGCATTAACAGCTAGGAAACCAGAAATTAGTCCTCAAGGCATAAATACGAGAAACTTAGCTGCATGAGAAGACAGTTTCTAAGCTTTAGTGGTTTTATCCACTCAACTGAGAAGAATTCCAGGTTCTGAGTCTAAGGTAACACGTTAGACCAGCAATCCCCAGCCCCAGCGTTCTGGACACCCAGCGTGGGTCCCACATCTTCCACGGGCATCGTGAAATTCTCCAGAAAGGCAATTCAAACTCGGAACCGTTGCAAAAACAGTCCTATGCTGCACAACGCCTTTCTGTAAGGGGAGTGTTACAAAATGGAAGTGCGGGAAGGATTGTGTATTGCCAGGCCCAGACAGCTAGGGTTCACCGAATTCGACCAATCGGATCTTAGCTGCTCAGTGAACTGGATCAGAACTGGAGTCCTGACTGAAAAATGGAAAAGCAGATAATTCCCCAGACCATGCATTACGTTTGTCTTATAAGGAGGAGTCACCGATGTGTTATATTGTAAGTACACAGCTTATACAGCGGGTAACAGATGCACGCTGTGGCAGCAAGCAGCTTAGGCCACTCGCATCGCACACTGCACGTTTCAGAGCCGAACCAGACACCGAACGTTCTCCTCACACTCGGAAGGGAGAGGCGCTCCCCTCCCCACACCCACTCGCCACTCCAGGGTCCTGACCGCCCACTCCTACCCTCCACATGTTCCCTTCTTTTTTCTTTTCTTTTTTTTTCTTTTTCCCCTCTAAGGCGCAGACACCCCCCCCAGGAAACAATTGGAGGTCATCACCCAACGCACGGAACACGCCTCACACACAAAACATTCAAACCACGTTTTTTTTTGTCTCTTGCAGTTTTGCAAGGAAAAGGACTCTTGCCTCATCACACAGTCTGTGGGAGACCCTCCACATACAGCCCACCCAACCATTAACATTCTCAGTGCACATGCTCACGGCAAAGGCTCAGGGACCACTCGGAGGACAGGTACCAGTGGCGGGCCAGGGCCACCCAAACACCACACACCGCGGTGCTCCGCCGCTTCTGACATGAATTTTTTCGCCCTCGAAAGACCTTCCCAGTAGGTCCTGTAGGCGACCGGGTAGGGTGCAAAATGGCTTTGGCTGGGACACGCACCCTCCTTCCACGGCCGTCTCAGCCTGGAAGCCTTTTTAGCCTGCAGGATTCGCCGCTCCGCCCCTTCAGAGATGCCTCTTCATGTGCAGGGCCAGGTGGTCGGACCTGGAGAAACACCTGCAGAGAAAATCGGGGTCCCGGACATTAGGTCTCCAACCCTGCCGGGGTTACAACCTCGCCTGCACTCCCCACCTAAGCCCTGTCCAGAGGGGAGGGTGGCGGTCACCACGCTGAGTCATCACCACCCATATTTGGGGCAGGAAACTCCAGCTGAGGGGAGTATAAACGAAGGAGGGCTCCACTCAGCTCTCTGGAATTTCACTGGACTTTACTGTCCGGCCTTCAGATTAGAAAACTGTTAAAGGCCCATTTCAGAAAGTGCAAATGAAGTCACCCTCGTCTCAGGCACTCAGCACCGTGGTTCTTCCTAACTTGGACAAGCGGCATCTTTGAGACTTCTGAAACCCTCTTGGGCGGAGAAGAGAAACGCCAATCCAGGCCAGGAAAACGCCTGCCTGGTTCAGGCTCACCGCGTGCCTGCCCCATTCCGGGCACAGCACCCCCGCACCCCTGCGACTCATGCACGTACCTGTCACAGTGAGAACATTTAAAAGGCTTGGCACCAGTGTGCTTTCTGAAGTGTCTGGTTAACTCATCGCTTCTTGCAAAACGCCACTCACACCCTTCCCATGAGCATCTGTAAGGCTTTTCTCCTGGGAAGAGAGAACAGGACAGGCACGCTGTGACTGCAGTGGAGCGCGAGGGAAGGCTGCTTCCCCGGCAACACAGGGCGCGGGAGGAAAGGGCCCGTTGGCACGCCGGGAACTCAGAACACACCTCAGCCAGGGCTGCGGGCTGGCACTCAGGAGGTAGCCGGCAGGCACTCCTGACCTAGCCTCAGGCCTCCAGCTGCCGGGGGAGGAACTGGGCCCTCACGGCTGTAATCAGTTACCGCGTAAGCACGGAGATTACTCAGACGGGAGACATGCTTCTGAGGCGATGTGTCAGCTCGCTGGACCCGCAGCCTCGGCGAGGGCAGGGTTTTATTGCTTTCTCCATGGAAACAGTCTCTCTCTAGCATTTATTTTGTCCCTTACTCACTCCCCTGTGGAACGAGGCTTTGTAGTTTCCTCCGGGAAACAACATTTCTCCAAAACTGAGGTCATGAGTTTCTGGGAAACCCCATTCCAAGGCCTTCAAAGCACTTTCTAAATGACAACCAAAAGACCCAGTCGACTTCATCCCTTGGTCAGATTATAAATAGGAACTCACTAAAAGTGCTACTTGAGTATATACAAAAAAAAAAAAAAAAAAAAAACAGCCTTCGGCTGTTCCGAGGTCCTAACTTGAGGGCTCAGAGATCTCCTCTCATTGCTGGTAAGATGAGAGTCTGCATGACTTGATCTCTCAGGTCCCTTCCAGCTCCAAAATTCCTCTGATTCTTCACCAGTGATCCTAGACCGTTACGGGCCTTTCAAATGGAACTATGATCTGGGTGGTGGTACTTCTGTAAGAAGTCATTTTTATTTTTCTAAGTTGGTATCAGAAAACAAAGGCAGCATGACAGAGAAATTCTAAGTACCCACAGGTGGACATGGCCTCACAGAACCGACAGTTGGCGCTCAGACCCCACACCGCGGTCAGCGCTGTGAGCTCTCACAACCCAGCCACCCCCTCCCAACCCCTAAGTTTCATTTCCAAAAATCAGAGGCCATTCCACGTAACATTATGCACGGGCACTGTATACAGGGCACAAAGGGCCCTGAAAACCTAGATGGTTGGAGTAGGTAGGGGATGGGGTAGAGATGGAGAATGTGATTTACCTCTTGTCTGTTTAATCTGAAAGCGATAAGCATTCATCGGGCACACATGTCCAGCTTTTCAGCTCCTAATCTGTCCTCCCCAGAGACCCAACTCTCTTGGAGGAAGAATGAGGAGGTGAGGATGTGTCTGCTCTGACAGTCTCCTGCGGAGCCCCAGCCCCCTCCCAGGGCTGGTGTGATTCAGCGGCACCCGCCAGGAGCCCACCGCCTGGGTCGCAGGAGGGACTGACCTGTGTGGGTGCGCTGGTGTGCTTTCAAGTGGGAGCTTTTGGTGTAAACTTTTCTGCAGCCGTTAAAGTGGCACCGATGCACCCTCCTGCGGCCGTCGGGGGAGGCGTCCCCGCTGCCCTTGTCACCCGGCTTCCCCGCAGTCCCGCCGCGCATCCTTCCCCGGGGGGTGCAGCTCCGCCTGCACGCAGCCCCACAGGTGAGATGGCTCCCTGCTCAGTTCTGGGGAAGAAGGGGGCGTGGAGGTGACGGAGGAGCTCAGGTTTCCAGAGTTGACTAACACTTCACTGATGGGGTCGGAGGTGAACTTGGTGGTGGGCGAAAGCTCCTCGGAGCTGTCGGACGACTCGCTGCTCACGTCTGAGTTCAGGCTGTTGGTCTCCAGGTTGTAGCCGAAGCCGGGGCTGCTGAGAGCATCCTCGGGGGGGCTGGGGGACATCTTCAGGTCCGCGTCCTCCTTTTTCTCCCGAGCCAGGATGATTTTGGTCCACAGATCTTCCTGGCTGTCGAATTTGATTTCGGAGGCTGACACGTAGCAGGGTTCGCTCTGGAGGTAACGTTCCAACTCCAGGCAGGTCTGTGTGAAAGGAACCACAAGCAGGCACGTGATTGTGATGACTATCGAAAATGGAACTGAAAGCACATTTCCAAAAACATGCAGGAGTCAAGGGCAAATAAACTGTGTGGCCTTGTCACTATAAGAATCCGTGACTGGAAGAGCGAGAGGAAAGCTGTTCCTAGGAATGGGTACAAATTCAGCAGAAAAGCCCGAGGTGAAACCTCTCTCCGCTTCCCCAAGTTGGACCATATGATTGAGGGTCACGGAGCCCGCTTTTTGTTATAGTTAACAGTGTTGATGTTTCTAATGAGTTTCTGTAAACCACACAAAGAAAACCTGCCTCAGACACCACCTCCCCACCCGACAGGTTTAACCAGATTATCTGACAGTCTCGAGAGCCCTGTGCATCCAGGAAAGGCCCTGCCCTCCTCCTTTCTCAGGCACAGGCACAGACACTGACACCGTGTGCTCTGACAAGGCACGTGTCTCCCTCTGGAGACGCAGCTGACAGCTCAGGGCCACAGTCAGTGAGCAGACGCAGCTAGCTGATGGTCTGGGTTCAGGAACACCAAAGGAGCTGCAGAGAAACCACCCGTTTCCTGCGGAGCCAGGACCTAGGAGGCTCTCCAAGAATGCCATTCCCAAGCACAAGGCTGTGCGCACACCCAACTTAAAGGACTTCCACCGTGGTCAGAGGAAGACAACAACAGGAGTGGGAGAAGTCATTCCAGAATGGCCATCTGCTATTGTGGAGGGTGCAGGGGGGAGTTCCTCCCCGGGTCTGCTGGGAGTCCCACAGTGGACAAGAACTTTATCTACTGGCCAAGAGTACAACTGTATGAGTCATTACTCTATTTCTTTCACGCAATGCCAAAGCAGACTTCCTTTTGAAATTCTGACCAGCAGCCAAAAAAGGACCCGGTTCAAATATACATGCAGTGTGTCATGGACAGGGTGCCCCCCCAGCCCCACAACCAACCTTTCCAGAAGCTACAACTGCCGAGAGACCAGCATCCCCTCTCCCCACCATCTCAAACTTTCTAGCCACTGGAAAAGAAAAATGGTAGGAAACATTTTAGGATTAAATTATGTCTGCCCTTATCTTCACTAGGATCTACAGCCTGCATGTCCATATAAGGCTGCCTATACTCCTGCGATCCTACAGATGTACTTTCTACAGCATACTCTGCTCTTCTCAGCAAACCATTTTCAGGATTAGCAAAGCCCACCCAAAGGGATCCCGCTGGCTTACTTAGCAGCCTGCCTGCAATAATATAGCACATACCGTCCCCCTCCCCCCAGACTTGTCACATAGCAAGCCGAAGCAAGCAGAGGGGGAAAACAATCATGGTTTGCTTGTTACCGCTAAAATTAGATGCCTGGGTTACAAAGTATACTAGAGTGTTCTGAGGCCAGACGGCAGGATATTTTATGGGTCCTCCCAAGGAAGAGGCAAGCACAGAGATGGAGATCTTGTTAAACTTTAATAATCTGGCTAATTTAAAATCTCCATTATGCTGACGAGCACTGGGGACCAGGATGAAGCTCTCGGAGAGTTTAAAAGCCTCTGAAGGCGACCCGAGTGCTCGGCCTGGCTTGTGGCCCGAATCCCAAACGCCCGAAGGAAACTACTTAGATCAATTTCAATCACGTCCTAGGAAGCAGCTTCTTTAGGAGGAAAAGGGGGGGGTGGCAGGAGAGGGCTGCGAACAATTAAGCAGGCGTGTGAAGGTTTTAACAGTTTGCATTTCACCTCCCTTAAAAGCTTGCTAGGGTTTGAAACCCACAGAATATATCTGATCAGCTAAATCACTTTGTGACAAAAAGCAAACTGCCTAGCAGGGCAGAGACAACCTCAAACCTTCTATCTTTTAAAGACAATGGGACAAGTGTCAGAATCTGTCTCCCTTCAGGCAATCCTCACAAATTAGAAGGGGGGTGGGAATTAAGTTTCTTAAATGTCCAATGCCAAAAATTCCAGTTCTACTAAAAAATGCCGGAAACAGACACTCTTCTTCCCCAACTCAGACTTGAAGCAATTCAGACCGGCTCATTGTCATATGACTGATAAGTCACTGGTTGTGCAAACACTGGCTTTTTTTTTTTTCGGTCAACAAAAGAAGCAGGTAAGAAAAACAAGGCAGAGTGAGGCAAATCTTAAGGGTTCCAAAGGAAGGTAGAGAAACTGAAAATGGTCTGGTAGAGAAACGGCGCTAGTGGACGACTTCACTGGTGAAATTCTTAGTTAAAAAAAAAGCCCTCGATGTACAAACACCAAAAAGCAAAAACAAAAACAAAATCTCTTAAAAAAAATACCCTTGGCAGTCCATGCAAGTTCATATGACCAGATCCAGCTGTGGAGTCTGGAGCTGGTACAAGCACCAAACTTCTGCCAAAGGCTGGGGCCGGGATCAGGCCGCGGAGCTGGTTCTGCTCTCCGGCGGATGCAGTTCATAAGCCCCAGAGACGGGCAAAAACACTCGGAGCGACGAAGCGCTGCTGCGCCCCACTCAAATGACAACTCCGCTTCACGCCGTAAAAGGCCCCTTTAAAGTGCCTTCCGCACCGGAGGCAGCAGAAGTACGTTTTAAGACCAATTATTTTAATTTTCAAAAATTTACCCAAACCATTAAAAAAAAAAAGAAAGAAAGAAAAAGAAAAAGAAATGCACCTCCAACCACACACCGTCCTGTCGGTGAGTGCATGCACTCCCTCCTCGGCGCACCGGGGCACCTGGCCCACGAAAATTCCTATTTACCTGTTGCCAATATTCCTCCAGGGAGGGCAGCGCCGAGAAGTACCCAGTCTCGTGCACAATCTGGAGTTCCTGGAAGATGCTGCACATTGGGAGCACATCCATGTCGGGTTGGAAAAGACAGTCACTGCTGTTGTGAAAACAGGGAGGTGTGCGGTCTGGAGTCGGGAGCGCAGCAGCCGTGCCTGCAGCGCCGGGTAAGTTCATGCAAACTCAGTGCGCAGCAATTAGGCGCCGCGGGTTCGGATCCTGCTGGAGCCCGGAGACGCGCTCGCGAGCCCACACAATATTTGCAAACACCGGACTGACTGCAAACGTAACCCCTGAAAAACTTCCCTATTCAAAGCTCCGCTGCCAGCCTCCC